ATAATTATATATATATATATAATTAATGCAACTAAAAACTTAAAAAGGGTCTTATTCATATATAAAAGGGACATATATAAAAAAGTGGGAAAAAATCTTTACATAAAGACAAAGATAAGAAACTATACTATAAGTATATTTTAAGATAATCTTAATTATAACTTGTCAATGTATTCTAATTTTAAAAAATTGAGTAATTAAAAAATCTTTTGAAAAATATACTTAAAAAATATATTAAAATATTTTTAATACATCTTATGATTTCTAAACTTTTTGGTATTTTTTTATTATACTCTTAAATTAACAAAATTTATAATTAAACTCTTAATATTCTCTCTTTCTATTTAATTATTTCTTACTTAATTAATTAATATTTAGAAAGATAATAATGTTAAATTAGATGAGTTAGATATCTATGTGTTATTTATATTCTTCTATTTTAATAAGAAAGATAATTTTTATTCAATTAACTTTAATTATAATTATTATTTTAAAAAATTGTTAATTACAAGATATATATATATATATATTATAATTATTTTTTGTTTTTTTTTGTATAGATAATATTTTTCCTTTTTTTATATAACCTCCTAAAAAATTCTTTTTTATATAAATAACTTCTCATTTTTTTAATTTTTTTAAAACTACAATAAATACTTATAAAAATAATGTTTTTCTTCTTTTAATATACATATAGAGGAACAAATTATGTCATTCAATAGTTTTAAATTGAATGATTTTTTTTCAAAATCAATCTATAGTTTATTTTATATCCAAAATTATTTGTTTCACATTTATACGGATAAAAAAAAACGTATATAGATTTTAAAATATGAATAATTTAATTTTTTTTTTGTTTAACAAAATTTGACATGCATATTTAAGGTAAAGTAAATTTATAATTAAAATTTGACATAATATATATTTTTTAAAACATATAAAAATATGAATAATTTAATTGTCTTATTATTGTTTAATTTTAACAAAATTTGATATATTCATTCAAGGTAATATAGAGTTGTAATTCAATGGTTGAATCGATAAAATTAATTTCTTATTTAAAGTTATTAAACTGTGTAAAAGATATAAAGATTCATCTAATCATGCTACTATATATATGTGGGAGGGGAGAAATCAAATTATATCGATATAAATCTTATCAATTATTACATATTATTCAGTAACTTTATATTAGACGTGCATTATATTTTCATATCAAATTTTGTTATAATTAAACAATAATTTAAAGGTGATCAAATTGTTCATATTTTGTATATTTAGAGATTTTACATAAATTTTGATCTATATGAATGAAGTATCAAATCATTTTGAAGTAATATAAAATTTTACATATATAATATAAGAGTAAAAAACTTGCAATATAACAATAAGGTTTGAAAAATAATCATTTAATTAAAAGTTATTGAATAGTGCAATAGTTAGTAAAAGTTATATCGATATCATTTAATCTCTCTCGTATTATTTTATGCTTTAGAAAACGTAAAGACAAAATAAAAAAAAATAAAAAAAACTACATTGATATATACAAGACATCCATGGAGTCAACTAGCAAAAGAGAAGCAAGTTAACAGGCTACTCATCCAAATTTAGATGAATCAATCATGTGTGACGTTAACACACACACATATACTTTGTTAGATATAATATTATATCTAACAAAGTATATATAACACATGTATACTTTGTTAGATATAATATTGATTAAATTGGATAAGAACATTATGGATAAAGTCTCCCCTCATATTATAATAGGCTAAAATAGTATTTTAGTCCCTTATAATAATTGTTTGTTTTAATTTAGTCTCACTTTTATTTTTGGTCTCAATTTGATCCCTAATAAATTAATTGGTTGCAATGTCGGACTTCCGTCCAAATTATTTAAACGGAGTTAACTGTTGGTCACGTGGATGTCACGTAGATACATAGGTGGATGCCACGTGGAGGCCAATTTTTTGAAAACACCTGAAACCAGAACGGTCCATTCTGGATGCCCTATTGGTGTGTTAATTTTGCATTTGGAACGGCCCGTTCCAGGTGCAAAATTAACACACTAAAAGTGCAACCAGAACGGGTCGTTTTGGTTTCAGAACGGGTCGTTTTGGTTCCATACTGCTAAACACAAACGGTCAATTCACGGTTGTGAATCGTGGAAAGAAAAAGACTCAAGGTACAAAGCATTTCAAATACTGAATTTGGTAATATTGTCAATAGAAATTGATAACTTCAATTGCTAAACAGTTGGGCTATACAGTGTATCATTAAGGACAATGAATAATAGCAGATTTTATTTCATTGTTAGTCAAACTGGAGTGAACCACTTACTACCAAATTGACACTATACAGTAAAGAATGAAATGACATGGTATTTTTCCTTGAAGTCATTAACGATGTACCTCAACAACAACAACATGTTCTTAAAGAGGTAGAACCTGAAGTAAAGAAAGAGGATACACAGGACTAACATTTCACCACACAACCACATGCAGGGACGGATTTAAGTTAAACATAGTGGGGCACTTGCCCCCACTGAAATTTTTTTCATTCTTTTTTATATATAAAATATTAATAATTTTATAAAATATATATTATTAATTATATTTTAATTATCTTGTTATATCTAATATAATAAATACATTAATATTTTATTTTATTGTTTAATTATTTTTTATTTTATGATAAAATTATCTTCATTTTTAATGAAGAAAAAATTTACTTACTTAAAGAGTAAGTCTTGATAAATTTATTCTACTTAATAATTAATGTTCTATATCAAATTTTTAAAAATTTAATTGTTAAGTTGAAAAGCTTTTCATGTATAGATCAAATTTATAAAAAAATTTAAAAAATTAAAAATCATATGATACTTCGTTAAATTAATTCAAAATAACATATAAAATATTTTTGTTTTAAATGAGTGTAAAAATTTAGAAGACACTAAAAGAAAACAAATTAATAATTTTATTATGTTTATCCTATTAATTTTTATCATTTTATTCCTCTAATTTTAAATAAGTTGCAAAAAATTATTAAATGATACTTAAACATTTCTTCAGACAAAAAGAGAAAAAGGAAAAGTTATCACTAGGGATGACAAAAATACCCGCACCCGCGGGTATTTGCGGGTAAAATCCGTTACGGATAATAAATGGATAGGCTAATTGGGTACCCACGAATAATGGAGACGGATAATTTTTTAGCTGTTTATAAATGGGGCGGGGGCGGGTATGATGATATTCATACTCGCGGGTACCCGTTTAATAATATTTCTTAAATATCCTAATTATCCTTGTATCACATAACCCTAAAACTACACTTTCTCATCTTATTTTCTTACAAAAGTGAGGTTGATGAAGTTACCAACATGTGTTAAGCATGTTATAGAATTATGTTGGATGTAATTTGATTAATTTTCTAGCTTTGATTGGACCAATAAGATTTATTTATTTAAAGTTGTTTAATTTTGTTTGGAATTATGAAATTAAATTATTGTAACTTTGTGATGAAACTTTAACTTACTTGTGAGATTGATGTATTTTAAGTTATTGATTATCTTGCATTTTTATTATTATTTCAACAAAATTAACATTAAATACAAGTTCAAAATTAATACTGAATTTTTATTTTTAATATTTCAATGATATTAAATATAAATTTAAAATTATTTATAATATAATTTTTTAATTTCTTAAAAAAATTATAAATATCTATGGATATCCATGGATATCCGTGAGTATTTAAGAAATTTATGGATATCCATTTAATGGATACCCGCACGGATATGGGGTGGATATGAGACCAATTTTCATCCAGCGGGGCGGGGCGGGTTTACTACTACCCGCCCCCATGGGGCCCCATTGCCATCCCTAGTTATCACTCTATTTATAAGACAAATGTATTTTATAAAAATAGTAATTTTAAAATTTTTACCATAAAAAAATATTTTTCAAAATTATTATAGTTCTGGAATGGGCCGTTCTGAACGGGTCGTTCTTTTGTACTCGTGGTGTATTAATTTTGCATCTGGAACGGTCCATTCTAGATGCAAAAATAACACACCAAAAGTGCACCCAAAACGGCCCGTTCTGGTTTCAGAACGGGCCGTTCTGGTTCCTGGTATTTTCGAGAAATTTGGGATCCACGTGACATCCACCTATGCATCTACGTGGCATCCACGTGGCCTACAGTTAACTCCGTTTAAATAATTTAGACAGAAGTCCGACATTGCAACCAATTAATTTATTAGGGACCAAATTGAGACAAAAAATAAAAGTGAGATTAAATTGAAACAAACAATTATTATAAGGGAGCAAAATAAGTTTTTAGCCTATTAAGTGTCAACTAAGATGGTTACACATGATTTTTTATTCAACATATAAGTAGTTAACAAGTGTTGAATAATAGTAGAGACCAAAAATATCGAGATGAAAAAAAAAAAAAAACTCAAATTTAAAATCAAAATTTATTTTATATAGACTAAAAACACTTATTTAAAAAAATGTTTCTTTTTTGAATTTAATGATGATACAATGATAATATAAAACAAGTTTACATAATCATTCTATCAAAATTTACCATAAATGATAAATTTATTGATTTCAATAATAATTATCTTAAAAAATATAGAAACCGTAATTTCTAATTGATCCGCAAGACTCTTAACATTAATAATGCATGACCATCTAACTCTACTTTTTTTTTTCTTTTCCTTTTATTATTATTTAAAATTTTAAATCTTCCATCTCTTACTTTCAATTAAGGCTGAAAGAAATGTAGTCGTATATGTTGATTCTGTAATTCATGCGTGGAAACCATTTCTCACTGCCTTACCAACTACAAGTTAGCAATAGATATTTAGGGATGTCAATACATTCCCTTCCCAATATAGATGATCAATTAGCCCCTGGTGAAGAATCAAATACACTCCAAAGGCATTATTATCGTTGTTGGTCTCTGGGAAATCTTGATGGCCAGGAACAACATGGTGATGAAAGGAAAGAGCATAACAGCTAGAGATATTCAAGTAAGAATAATGCACTCCTTTGATCAAACCAAAAAGGCTTTTGGTCCAAAGGGAGTAACCCGCCAAATGGTATAAGCCCATACTAGCCCAATCCGGAGTGGGTCGGCCCGTATAACTAACAACTCAGATTTCACGATGAAAAAACAAAAACGTCCCCTGGTGGCGTCCCTCCCTGATGGTCGTTCTCTCCTTCAACCCGAACCCTCTGGTCTTCTCCGGCGCAGGCATGTCAGCGTCACACTCACCCCAACCCCAACGTAACCCCCCAACAACCGCCGCAGGTAATTACCCAACACCTCTCTCCCCTCCGCTCCCCTCAATCTCCAAGGAAATCGAACTGAGCAGGGCCATGAGCGCCGCTTCAAACTCCTCCCTCTTCTCCCTCTCACCCATCCACATCCTCTACCACGACGACCACCTCATCGCCGTCAACAAGCCCCACGGAATCTACTGCGAGACCCTCCTTTCCTCCCTCGCCCCCCATTCCCCCCAACTCCACCTCGCCAACCGCCTCGACCGCGACACCACCGGCGTAATGCTCCTAACCAAATCCCACAAGGTCGCCGCCAACCTCGTCAAAGCCTTCACCCAACACAAAGTCAACAAAACCTACATCGCCCTCTGCACCGGCGCTCCTCCCACCTGGGAACGCCTCACCGTCCGATCCGGTCACGGGCGCTCCAAGTTCGGCGCCTGGCGAGTCTACGCCGCCTCCGACGTCGGACGCGCGTTACCTGGCGGCTCGGTTGTCCGTAACATGGAGACTTCCTTCGAGGTTTTATCGGTTAACGGAAAAGGCACCTTTAGGGAGGTTTCGGAGTTTTTCGACGACGACGTTTTGGTGGTTGAAGAAAAAGCGGTGAGAGAGGAGGGTAAGGGTAACGAGAGCGAGATTGTGGTGAGAGCGTATCCTCGGAGTGGAAGAACGCATCAGATTCGCTTGCATTGTCAGTACCTAGGGATTTCCATAATTGGAGATGTCAAATACGAGGGTGTGCACCAGTGGAAAGGCGTTACTCATCATGCGCATCACCTTCATGCAGAAACGCTGTCGTTTCAGCATCCTGTTACCGGTCTTAACGTTATCATAAATGCGCCTCTCCCACTATGGGCCACCCAGGCCTTTCACCGGGACAAATTGTGAGCTTCTCGCCATGTCATTTTATGTCAACAATTGAATTGCTGTATTTTGTTTTCGGTTTCACTCTTCAAGTGTACATTCTTTTTCTAGTTCGATTCAAGCAACTGTGCCACCAATCTTTAATTTTTGAATGCTTCTTTTATTGTACTATTTATGCATCCAACAACTGATGTTATATTATCATACATACAGAGTTAATGGTTTTATATTTTGGGGTAACACTTTGAATTTAGGCTATCATGTGTGGATGGCTTGATTGCGACTGTTTTTGCAACTGATCTTTTTTAAATAAAAAACGTGAGCCAAATTGAACCATCCTTTAAATCACAGCTTCTTATCTCAACTATGTTGATCACTGCTGGTATAGCCATCAGAATTTATTCTATAACTTTGGAGCCAACAAGGTTGTCAAGAACTGCGATGACTAATTTCAACTAACCTCCCCTTTTTGTTAGCATGTATAGATTGTTTGGTCTATATATATATATATGATTCAATTGTAGTCATTACATGATTTCAGGCACCTTTTTTTGTGTTGCAATTGGCTTATGGGTTGGACTTGTAATTGGCACATTTATAAGAACTACGCTAGCAATGCTTGCAGATGAGTTGCCTTGTTCTGTTTTCTTGGTCTATTGCACGGAATCCCTTTCCTTCTAGTTTCTGAGGACTGAGGAGCCTAATAATTCCCTAAAATCTAAAATTTGACATTATCCAAAACTTTCAGAAACTTGGATTCCGTAAATGGCTTAAATCAGCCTTTAGAGACCCACACCAAGGTTATCAAATTAAGATTCAAAATTTGTGAATAGTCAAGCTAAGTTTTGAATTGTGAACAGTAGTTTGTATTATGAATGATAAGATTTAAAGACGATGAAAAATAACACCAAAATTATGTTATATCTATGCTCGTGAAGCCTCTATTTTGGAAGAATGGAAATGAAGCAATGAAAAAACAAAATAAAGTCCATGCACTAATTGAGTGAGGGACAAATTGAGTAGTGGAAATGTGGATAGCCAAAAAAGATGAGTTCCATAATGTTCCTTTAATTCCTTTTCATTTAAGGATTTAAGCTTATATAACTTCCAATTTCTTTCATGATAAATGATGAGAAAAATAATAATAATAATAAATTGTTGAATCATGGGATTTGTATCAAATATACTATATCACATTGATTCATTCATGTATCATGCACGATATTCAAAGTCATTTGAGATTCTTCTTATGATACATATCGCTCATTAGCCAAATTGCATCGAATCGTAAACGTTAAGATTCTAATAACTATAGCCCGCATAGTTAGTGAAATAGATATTCAAATGTTAAGTTGCTAACTAGTTTTTCACAAGGTGTGGCAGATTCGTGCAGGACTGGAGCTGCAACAAATGTGAATTTTGGATTAAAAATGAGTTATTATTCCCATATTTACTAGCTATTGCTGTTGCTATTTATGTAAAGTGTTAGCCTTGGTGCCATGTATGGAATTTCTGTTGCTGCATTTGAAATGCTGAATATCATCGTGACTAGTCTTGCCATTGATGCATCCAATGAGTGATAATGGCTGGATGCAGCAGGAAACACCACTGCCGCTATATACAGTATAGTAATAAATATTCATGGACTAAGCGTGTCGTGTGATGTGTGGGAGTATATTCAAGCCAAGGTTAACGTTACTTGTGCACTTCAAAACGGAACTCTCTAGAATCATAAATAATTGTGGCCCCACATAAACAAGATAGTAGAAACTTTTATTGGCTATAGTTTTTGAGGCCTGGAGTGGCTTCCAATCTAAGCAAGCATCCTAGTTTCCCAAACAACAATAATAAAATGAATGCCGGCATCACTCATCTCGAATTGGTGCCCTTTTTTATATTTGACCTCTTTCGTTTTATTTTCTTTTCACCGGTGAACAAGGACTTTGTGATTGTCATTAATGGACTTGATTGCATACTTCCATATTTTTAATATATATATAT